AATACAATATTTTTCAGGATGCAGAGTTCAACTAATGATTTCAAATTAATTCTCTCTAATAAAATCCACCACATTTCTTTTTATGGTTTTAAGCTAATCTGGTGATACAATATCAAAACCATGCACTCGATAATTTCAACCCAAACTTTTGCTCTTCTCGAGATTAATCCAAATTCGTCAATGCAAAAATGCAGCTGAATTGTAGCCGTTTTTTAGTACCTTCACATATGGAAAGGAGGTGAATCACATGATTCCAGTCCTTCAAAATTTCCTCGGTAAGCTTCTCAACTATGGTTCCTCTCTATAGAGAAAAAGGGAAATTAAAAGGGGAAAAAAAATGATGTGATCGAATTATATCGGTAGAAAAAGAACTCACCTCAGGATCATCAAGGAGTCTTAGTGGAGTAGTATCTACACTTAAGAGGTCCCTAACAGATTCATTGTATATCTCCATAGCCGAGAATTTCAACACAAAATCTCTTTCTGGGTGCTGAAAATATCTCAAATTAGCATAATAAGCACCATAAAAATGTGTAAAGTAACATTTAATTTTGATTTTACCTTTTGTATGTAATCATATATGTCAGATATTGCAAACTCGGTTATTCCAGTCATCGTGAACGTCTTTCCACTGCTCGTTTGTCCATATGCAAAAACACTTGCTACAGAGAATATTCATAGATTGGCGAAAAACGAGTTACCAAATTTAAACACTGGAAAAGAACTAAGAAAAAGAAATTAAACAAGCTAGATTCACTGAAATCGGTAGATCGAAAACTTCTACTCACAATTAATTCCATTGACTACTGAAATCGCAACGTCCTTAGCTCCTTTCTCATACACTTCTCTAGTGGAGCAATCACTCCTGAAAACTCTGTCTGCAAAGAGTAGATCTTCAACATCATGGGATATAGGGACAAACTTGCACTCTAACTATACTTAACAATACATAATTGTTCATCCACAACTGCACTAACCTTAAAAAGTGTGCAGTAACTAAATTCAAACACCAACAA